GTAGGAGGAGTAGAAGATTCCATTATTAGCTGAGGGCAGGATAGGCTTCCCTGAAGAGATAGGTTTTCAGAGATCACCTAAAAGTGGGCAGAGTAGGAGATAGTCTGATAGATGGAGGTGGAGAGTTCCAGAGGATGGGGGAGGCTCTGGAGAAGTCCTGGAGATGAGCATGGAGGAGGAGACAAGGGAGCTAGAGAGCATGAGGTCATGGGAGGAGCAGAGAGTACGGTTTGGGTGATATTTGGAGACAAGATTGGTGATGTAATTTGGGGCAAAGTTATAAATGGCATTTTATGTTATTAATGTTTTGAATTTTATTCATTGGACAATCGGAAGCCAGTGGAGGGATTGGCAGAGAGGGGTGGAGGACACTGAATGGAGATCAGTGGAGGGATTGGCAGAGAGGGGTGGAGGACACTGAGTGGAGGCCAGTGGAGGGATTGGCAGAGAGGGGTGGAGGACACTGAGTGGAGGCCAGTGGAGGGATTGGCAGAGAGGGGTGGAGGACACTGAATGGAGGCCAGTGGAGGGATTGGCAGAGAGGGATGGAGGACACTGAATGGAGGCCAGTGGAGGGATTGGCAGAGAGGGATGGAGGATGACCAAGGGAGGAGGTGTAGATGGAGAAGAGAAGGGGTCCAAGGACAGAAGCTTGAGGGACCCCTACAGAAAGAGGGAGTGGAGAGGAGGAGACCGAGTTATAGGTAATGCTGAAGGAGCGCTGCGATAGGTAGGAGGAGAACCAGGAGAGAGCAGTGTCTCGGAGGCCAAGAGAGTAGAGTTTTTAGAGGAGGGGATGGTCAACTGTATCAAAAGCCACAGAGAGGTCAAGTAGTGGCCATTGATTTTAGCAGTTAGTAAATCATTAGTGAGTTTTAGTACGGCAGTTTCAGTGGAGTGTAATGAGCAAAAGCCAGACTATAACCCCCCCCTACCCCCGGCACATCAAACCCGACTTTGAAATTGTGCGAATTATAGTGAAGTCGCAAGATTCCAAAGTCGGGTGAGATGCTGATATAAGATGCAATTTGAAAGACATCTGACACATATGCCTATTCAAATCGCACCAAAAGTAGTACATGCACTACTTTAAAAATTGGTGCGGCTCCAACCAAGTTGGAACCGCACCGATTTGACCGCTCTAATTGCGGACAATAGGGTGCAACTTGGCAAACAATTTGCAAGTCACATGGCATGCAAATCGCATGCCAAGTCGCACCTGATGTGACCGGGGTGTAAAGGGTCGAGAAGGTTGTTGTCGGTGAGGTGGGAGGTCAGGCGATTGTAGACTAAGCGTTCTAGGAGTTTAGAGGTAAATGGCAGCAGGGAGATGGGTCTTAAGTTGTTCAGGTTGGTGGGGGTCAGGGAGGGCTTTTTAACCGTTTCAATACCGGGCAATTTTCCCCTTCCTGCCCAGGCCATTTTTCAGGTTTCAGCGCTCTCACACTTTGAATGGCAATTGCGCGGTCATACAACATTGTACCCAAACTAAAATTTTATCATTTTCTTCACACAACTAGAGCTTTCTTTTGGTGGTATTTAATCACTGCTGGGGTTTTTATTTTTTGCTAAATTAACAAAAAAACACCAAAAATTTTGAAAAAAAAAAAAATTTTTCTTTGTTTCTGTTATAAAAGTTTACAAATAAATAATTGTTCTTCATAAATTTAGGCCGAGATGTATTCTGCTACATGTCTTTGGTGAAAATAACCCAAATTAGGATGTATTTTTTAGTTTGTAGGAAAGTTATAGAGTTCACAAACTATGGCATAGATCTGAATATTGATCAATCCTGAAGTACTGACAGCCAATCTCATTTCTTGAGGTCCAAGAATGTCAGGACAGTACAGATATCCCCCAAATGTCAGGACAGTACAGATATCCCCCAAATGTCAGGACAGTACAGATATCCCCCAAATGACCCCTTTTTGCAGAGTAGACAGTCCGACGTACTTCATAAGAGGCATGGCGAGTTTTTTGAAGTTGTATTTTTTTGTCATAATTTTTCAGAAAATGAAAAAATTAAAAAAATTATTTTCACTATTTTTTTTTTTTACATACTGTCACCAGTGCAGTACAGCGTCATCATATAACTTTCATGGCGGTGAACAGGGACACTGACTGGTGACAGTATGAAAAAAATATATATATATATATTTTTTTTTTATTATTTTAATTTTTTATTACATTTTTTTTTATTTTTTTTAAGATTTTTTTTTTCATATTTTACTATGACCAAAGTAGTACAATGTTACCATAGTAGCATTGTACTACTTTGGGGAAGTGATCAGTAATTTTTTTTTTTTTTTTTACACAATTTGCTTATAGCAAAGAATTACTTTGCTATAAACAAGCATTTACCTGAATGAATGAAATCGATTCATTCAGCTTCTTTTTTTTTTTTTGTGCTTAGCTGTGATTTGGTCACAGCTAATCACATGACATGTGCATGTGATTAGCTGTGACCATTCACAGCTAGGCACTAGTATACAATGGATGGCATCATGAATGAAGCCATCCATTGTATACAACTGTCATGTGACTTGCTGTGATTGGTCACAGCAGGTCACATGGTACCAACAATGGGAGCCGGTACTCGGATCTGTCATCGGCCATGTCCGAGGTGCACGGCCGGTGACAGATCGCGCTGCTGCGCCGCTCTGCATTAGCGCAAACTGCGCATGTGCGGGAGCACGCCAAATGGCGTGCACCCGGAATGCAGGAACACTTTTGAAGCTGCCAAACGGCCATTGGCTGGGCGGCTAATGGTTAAGTATGGGAGTGATGAGTGTATGCTTTAGAGGGGAGGGGAAGGCACCAGTAGAGAGGGAGAGATTGAACATGTAAGTGAGGGAGCATAGGACAGAAGAAGAGGGTGACCATAGTAGTTAGTGAGGGTACAGGATCCAGGGGGCACTTGGTGAGATGGGCTTCTGAGAAAACTTTAGTGACCTCTTCAGTAGTAGCGAGGTCAAAAGAGGAAAGAGTATGCAAATATACAGCCCCTTGGAGCAAAGGCCCAACCGCCGAGAGGCCGCATATTTGCGTACACTCGGTGCCAAGGAGTTAAGTGACTTTGAAAGAGCATGGTTGTTGGTGCCAGACGGGCAGGTCTGAGTATTTCAAAAATTGCTGATGGGTTTTTCATGCACAACCATCTCTAGGGTCAGAGGAGTCTTGTATCAATGGTTCAGGCTGGTGATGGTGGTGCATGGATATAGAAATTTTTTTAAAAACGACTTGTCCAAAGGACTAATTCGGGGTCCCAATCTACTTGTCCCTCATGACAATCTACTCGTCCTGCTAAAAAAAAAAAACTGCTGATCTAATGGGATTTTCACACACAACCATCTTTAGTTTTTACAGAGAATGGTCCGAAAAAGAGAAAATATCCAGTGAGCGGCAGCTGTGTGGAGAAAAATGCCTTGTTGATGTCAGAGGAGAATGGGCAGACTGGTTAGAGATGATAGAAAGGCAACAGTAACTCAAATAACCACTCGTTACAACCAAGGTATGCAGAATATCATCTCTGAACGCACAACACGGGGAACCTTGAACCAGATGGGCTACAGTAGTAGAAGACCACACCGGGTGCCACTCCTGTGAGCTAAGAACAATTCGCACAGGCTCACCAAAATTGCACAATAGAAGATTGGAAAAACGTTGTCTGGTCTGATGAGTCTGGATTTCAGCTGCGACATTCAGATGGTAGAGTCAGAATTTGGCATAAACAACATGAAAGCATGGATCCATCCTGCCTTGTATCAATGGTTCAGGCTGGTGGTGGTGGTGTCATGGTGTGGTGGATCCATCCTGCCTTGTATCAATGGTTCAGGCTGGTGGTGTCATGGTGTGGAGGAGATTTTCTTGGCACTAGCAAGGTGTGCCTAATAAAGTGACTGATGAGTGTATGTATCAACGTGTCCCCCAAAGGGAGAGCCTCCAAAGCAGAGGTGTCCAACCTGCGACCCCAGATTGCTATGAATGAGGCCCAACAACAAATCATAAACTTACAGGCACTCTTTACATCTGGAGGAAAAGAGATTTAATCTCCAAATACACAAAGGTTTCTTCACAGTGAGGGCTGTGAGAATGTGGAATAGACTCCCTCCAGAGTTGGTTGTGGCCAGCTCAGTGGATTGCTGTAGGAAAGTCCTGGATTCTTTCTGGATACACAGAATATAACTGGATATAACATTTATAGGGAAAGTAGATCCAGGGAATATCCGATTGCCTCTCAGGGGATCAGGAAGGAATTTTTTCCCCTGCAGGAGCAAATTGGATCGTGCTTTGCTGGGTTTTTTTGCCTTCCTCTGGATCAGCTGTGGGTGTAGGATTATAACTTCTTTTTTTCTTAATGGTTGAACTGGATGGACTTTTCTCTGTTTTCTTCCACATTCTTTATATGGATGTGTCTGATTTATGCTTTAGAGCAGGTGTGTCAAACCTTTGGACCTTCCTGGGCCGCATTGGAAAAAGAGGAATTGTCTTGGGCCGCACATAAAATACACTAACAGTAAGGAAAATGTGAGTATTTGCACAAAAAAAATTCTTCTAGCTTTTTTTGGGTTGTGTCTTACATACATGCACACGTGTTTGCACACATTTATGAGTACAGAACTGTGCAGCCCTGCCAATGAGCTCCTTCTTCCATCCCTGTACTGCACACAGCCTTGGCAAAGGCAGTTATGTTACAGTTCTGTGAATTCTCTGGTTAGAAAGGCAGCGCTGCTGCAGTAGTCAGCTACACACTATGCGGATTGAGGTTGTGTGTAAAAGAATCTGATCTAAGCTATGTGCTGTGTTGGGAGGATGAGCTCTGCTGCCTGTGCAGTGCAGGGGTGAGAGTGGGAGTTCTGGCAAGTGCCCTGCCAGCAGTGACCCCTGTCCTCTGCCCTGCCAGCAGTGACCCCTGTCCTCTGCCCTGCCAGCAGTGGCCCCTGTCCTCTGCCCTGCCAGCAGTGGCCCCTGTCCTCTGCCCTGCCAGCAGTGGCCCCTGTCCTCTGCCCTGCCAGCAGTGGCCCCTGTCCTCTGCCCTGCCAGCAGTGGCCCCTGTCCTCTGCCCTGCCAGCAGTGGCCCCTGTCCTCTGCCCTGCCAGCAGTGGCCCCTGTCCTCTGCCCTGCCAGCAGTGGCCCCTGTCCTCTGCCCTGCCAGCAGTGGCCCCTGTCCTCTGCCCTGCCAGCAGGGGCCCCTGTCCTCTGCCCTGCCAGCAGGGGCCCCTGTCCTCTGCCCTGCCAGCAGGGGCCCCTGTCCTCTGCCCTGCCAGCAGGGGCCCCTGTCCTCTGCCCTGCCAGCAGGGGCCCCTGTCCTCTTCCTTATCAGCAGTGGCCCCTGTCCTCTGCCCTGTCAGCAGTGGCCCCTGTCCTCTGCCCTGCCAGCAGTGGCCCCTGTCCTCTGCCCTGCCAGCAGTGGCCCCTGTCCTCTGCCCTGCCAGCAGTGGCCCCTGTCCTCTGCCCTGCCAGCAGTGGCCCCTGTCCTCTGCCCTGCCAGCAGTGGCCCCTGTCCTCTGCCCTGCCAGCAGTGGCCCCTGTCCTCTGCCCTGCAAGCAGTGGCCCCTGTCCTCTGCCCTGCTGACCCCTGTCATTGGCTCATCCGCCCATTGTCCTCGGCTCATCTGCCCTCTGTCCTCTTCCCTGCTGACTCCTGTCCCTTGCCCTTCTGACCACTGTCCTCCACCCTGCTGACTCCTGTACACTGCCCTGCTGCCCCCTGTCCTTTGCCCTGATGATTGCAGTACACTGCCCTGCTGACCCTTGTCCTCCACCCTGCTGACTCCTGTACACTGCCATACTGACCTCTGTCCGCAGCCCTACTGGCCCCCTGTGTACTGCCCTGTTACCTGTACACTCCCCTGCTGACCTCCCATCCTTTGCACTGTTTAACCTCCCCCCCCAGATACACTGCTCTACAAACTAACTGCCACTGTGCACTGCTCTACAAACTAACTGCCACTGTGCACTGCTCTACAAACCACCGACCATATCCTCTGTCCTGCTGGCTCCCTGTACACTGTCCTGCTGATCTCCTTTCCTCTGCCCCCCTGAAATGTTTTACCGCACCCCCACATCAGACAGGCTAGATCCGGCCACGACCTATATTTGTGAGCAACTATTTTCAAGGATGAAGCCCATGAAGGGCAAAATTAGAACCAAAATATCTGATGAGCATCTTGAGAATTCATTGAGAAATGCTAGTCCATCCATCCAACCAGATATTGATGCGTTTTTATCAAAAAGAAATATCGCACTAGTTTTATGTTTCTCTCTGTTACTTTTATAATAAAACAAATATTACAATAAAATGAAGTTTTATTACTCAGATAGGTACATTATCTACATCAATGACTGTGATCTGCCCAACGGTGTATTTTATGTGTGGCCCAAGACAATTCCTCTTTTTCCAATGCGGCCCAGGAAAGTCAAAAGGTTGGACACACCGGCTCTAAAGCATAAATCAGACACATACATGTAAAGAATGTGTGAACTAAAGGGCGTGTAATAAAATCTATGCATTTTATAATTCAGATCCCATGTGTTCCATATAATGGTTCAGAGCATGCTAGTGTTGGGGCGGATTTACTAAAGCCAATAGACTGTGCACTCCGCAAGTGCAGGTACTCCAGAGCTTAGTAAAAGAGGTAAAACTTCACTTTGTAAAGAATACCCAATCACGTACAAGGAAAATAATGATTGGATGATGAAAGTCAGCAGAGCTTCTGCTCATTTACTAAGCTCCGGAGCAAATACCCTTGCAGAGTGCAACTGCAAAGTGCACAGCCAACCCCACTGTATGTTATTGGAAGGGCATAGTCACCCAAAACTAATATCTTAGTTATGTGTGGAGCAGGGGCGGACTGACCATTTGGAAACTCAGGCTGTGCCCGAGGGCCCAGGGTCAGTAGGGGGCCCCATGAGATGCCCCTGGTACCTTTTTTATAGGCTTTTTTGAGTTTGGGCAAGGACACAGGGGCCCCATGATCCCCTATTGCCCGGGGGCCCCATGATTTGTCAGTCCGCCCCTGGTGTGGAGCTGTCTGTTATCCTAGGGTTTCCAGTGTTGAGATCTCCTCGCCATAGTTGGCACCAGGGGTGGACTGACAACTCATGGGGCCCCCAGGCAATAAGGGATCATGGGGCCCGTGTCTTCACCCACACTCAAACCACACTCAAATAAGCCTATGAAAGGTACCAGGGGCATCTCATGGGGCCCCCTACTGACCGGGGCCCTCGGGAAGTGCCCGAGTTCCCAAATGGTCAGTCCGCCCCGGTTGCCACCCAACTTTTGTTATTTCCAGCAAACTTAGTTGGTCTCCAATCCTGCCATGGCATTCTTCATAATCTAGAATCTGTGGCAAGGAGAGTGACAGCCATTTATAAAGGGCCACAGAAGGCTTAGAGATCAAGGAACTTGGCAAAAAGACCCGCCTGGAGGTTTGCATGTTCTCCCAGTGCCTGCGTGGCTTTCCTCCGGGTACTCTGGTTTCCTCTTGCACTCCAAATACATGCTGGTAGGTTAACTGGATCCTGTCTAAAGTGTCCCTAGTATGTGTATGTATGAATGTGAGTTTGGGACCTTAGATTGTACGCCCCTTGAGAGTTAGGGACCTTAGATTGTACGCCCCTTGAGGGTTAGGGACCTTAGATTGTACGCCCCTTGAGGGTTAGGGACCTAGATTGTACGGAGACCTTAGAGGGTTGTACGCCCCTTGAGGGTTAGGGACCTTAGATTGTACGCCCCTTGAGGGTTAGGGACCTTGTACGCCCCTTGAGGGTTAGGGACCTTAGATTGTACGCCCCTTGAGGGTTAGGGACCTTAGATTGTACCCCCTTGAGGGTTAGGGACCTTAGATTGTACGCCCCTGAGGTTAGGGACCTTAGACTGTACGCCCCTTGAGGGTTAGGGACCTTAGACTGTACGCCCCTTGAGGGTTAGGGACTGATGTGAATATATAAAGCGCTGTGTAAATTGACGGCGCTATATAAGTACCTGTACTCCTAGATTGTAAGCTCCCAGGATCAGGGCCCTCCTATCCCTCTTGTATTGAACTGTATTGTTGCTGTATTGTCTCCCGTTATATCGTAAAGTGCTGAGCAAACTGTTGGCGCCATAAATCCTGTATAATAATAATAAAAAATAAATAAAATAAATAAGATAAAATGGCAGCCACTCAATTATGTTATCACCAGCCAAAGGAACAATTCAGGCCGGAGGGACAATGCGGGTGGGAGGAAATTTCATGCCATAGCAGCATTTCTGGCAGGAGGTGCAATGAATGTGGAATGGACAATTCATAACAAATCAGCAATATAAATGTTCCAGCCCTCACTTGGGTAATATCAAGCAAAGTTCTCTTTCAACTAGAGATACCAAGAAACATAAATGATGGAAATGTGAACTATTCAGCATATACCAAACACTTAAACAAAATAAAAAAAAAATTGGGTGGACCGGCCCTTTAAATGTTCATGGCTAAACTCATATAGATCCTAATAGTTTTTTTTACAAAGACAGGACAGCTGAAAAATGTGAGCTGACACTCAGATTGTGTGAGACCCCCTGACCTCTGAAATATGACCCCCAACCCTGTTAAGGGGCATGTACATACACAGAATTCCAGGTCTGTCTGTCACTCTTTAGGTGGCCAAACAGCAAATTTAAGGTTTGATTGAAATACTGAACAATGTCAAACAATGGGTATTATCTTACACTTTGTAAATTATTTAAAATATCCTATGAAAATAAAATCTATTATTTATAAATGTAAAGGATCAATTAAAAATGATCATTTACTCCATCTAATTTTGTAACGGCTCTCCTAACACAAGCAGATATTTGTTGGATTGATCAGACGTGATCAACAAAATTCCAACATGGCCATTCGTCTTGCCAGAGTCGATCAAGAACTCACTATGTCAACCAAATGGAGGATCTATGGTTTGTGATTTTCATTGTTTGACCATTTTAGTTTTACTGAATGAACATTATTGTAGGATCATATCAATACAAGTGTGGCCATCTCTACAGACTGATCTCTGGGATTTATTTACGAAAACTGGAGAGTGCAAAATCTGGACAGCTCTGCATAGAAACCAATCAGCTTTCAGGTTTTATTGTCAACGCTTATTGAACAAGCTGAAGTTAGAAGCTGATTGGCTCCCATGTACACCAGATTCTGGGCGGTCCAGTTTTAGTAAATCTACCCCCATGTGTGATCTCACCTAATTCAAGGCAGGGTGTGACCAATGAAAGAGGATAGAACAGGAAGGCGCTTCTAAGTGCAGTACATCCAGAAGAATCATTAATAATGACGGTTAGAAACACTTACAAACTCGTAGTTAAAACAGACATAATAAAATCGTCAGAGTGCAGAGGCTCATCCACCATGCGAGAACCCGCTGTGCCAGCCAGCAGCTGCAGGGGGAGCTGAGGAACAGATGTCCAAGATGGCCACCGCACGTTCCAGGATCGCTGGAACGCACGCTGGAGTGCACGCTGTCCAGAAGACCACAATCAGAAGTGACTTGGGTTAGGAACGGGCGTGGAACAGTGATGCGTTTCGGAGCATGAGCAGAGCTCCTTCTTAAAGACCGATGCCAACAAGTGATGGGAGCCGAATAAATAGGAATAAGGGGAGGGGGCGGCCTGAGGAGATGGAAATGCACGCCCCCCGAAGCCCAAACAATGGAGGCCATGGGAGCAATGGGCTAATGGGCACAGTGGCTTAGTGGTTAGCACGTCTGCCTTGCAGTAAATGGGTCATGGGTTTGATTCCCGAACATGGCGTCTCCTGCATGGAGTTTGCATGTTCTCCCTGTGCTTGCATGGGTTTCCTTTGGGTGCTCCGGTTTCCTCCCACACTCCAAAGACATGCTGGTAGGTTAATTGGATCCTGTCTAAATTGGCCCTAGTATGTGTATGTATGAATGTGAGTTAGGGACCTTAGATTGTACGCCCCTTGAGGGTTAGGGACCTTAGATTGTACGCCCCTTGAGGGTTAGGGACCTTAGATTGTACGCCCCTTGAGGGTTAGGGACCTTAGATTGTACGCCCCTTGAGGGTTAGGGACCTTAGATTGTACGCCCCTTGAGGGTTAGGGACCTTAGATTGTACGCCCCTTGAGGGTTAGGGACCTTAGATTGTACGCCCCTTGAGGGTTTGGGGACCTTAGATTGTACGCCCCTTGAGAGGGTTAGGGACCTTAGATTGTACGCCCCTTGAGGGTTAGAGACCTTAGATTGTACGCCCCTTGAGGGTTAGGGACCTTAGATTGTACGCCCCTTGAGGGTTAGGGACCTTAGATTGTACGCCCCTTGAGGGTTAGGGACCTTAGATTGTACGCCCCTTGAGGGTTAGGGACCTTAGATTGTACGCCCCTTGAGGGTTAGGGACCTTAGATTGTACGCCCCTTGAGGGTTAGGGACCTTAGATTGTACGCCCCTTGAGGGTTAGGGACCTTAGATTGTACGCCCCTTGAGGGTTAGGGACCTTAGATTGTACGCCCCTTGAGGGTTAGGGACCTTAGATTGTACGCCCCTTGAGGGTTAGGGACCTTAGATTGTACGCCCCTTGAGGGTTAGGGACCTTAGATTGTACGCCCCTTGAGGGTTAGGGACCTTAGATTGTACGCCCCTTGAGGGTTAGGGACCTTAGATTGTACGCCCCTTGAGGGTTAGGGACCTTAGATTGTAAGCCCCTTGAGGGTTAGGGACCTTAG